CAAGCAGCAGCAGCAGCCACCAAGCAGCAGCAGCAGCCACCAAGCAGTAGCAGCAGCAGCAGCAGCGGCGGCGGCGGCAGCAGCAGCGGCGGCAGCGGCAGCAGCGGCAGCAGCAGCGGCAGCAGCTACAGCAGCAGCTGCTACCAAGCAGCAGCAGGAGCAGCTACCAAGCAGCAGCTACCAAGCAGCAGCAGCAGCCACCAAGCACTAGCAGCAGCAGCAGCAGCGGCAGCAGCTACAGCAGCAGCAGCTACCAAGCAGCAACAGGAGCAGCTACCAAGCAGCAGCTACCAAGCAGCAAGCAGGCAGCAGCAAGCAGCCAGCAGCAGCTAGCAGCCAGCAGGAAGCAGCAGCAAGCAGCCAGCAGCAGCCAGCAGCAGCAGCAGCAGCAGCAGCACAGTACGAAGCAGAAGCAGCAGGCACAGTACCAAGCAGAAGCAGCAGGTACAGTACCAAGCAGAAGCAGCAGGTACAGTACCAAGCAGAAGCAGCAGGTACAGCACCAAGCAGAAGCAGCAGCAGCAGCAGCAAGCAAGCAGCAGCTGCTACCAAGCAGCAGCCAGCAGCAAGCAGCCAGCAGCAGCAGCAAGCAGCCAGCAGCCAGCAGCAGCAGGCAGCCAGCAGCAAGCAAGCAGCAGCAGGCAGCTAGCAGCAGCAGCAGCAGCTACCAAGCTACCAAGCAGCAGCAGCTACGAAGCTACCAAGCAGCAGCAGCTACCAAGCTACCAAGCAGCAGCAACTACCAAGCTACCAAGCAGCAGCAGCTACCAAGCAGAAGGAGCAGCTACCAAGCACAAGCAGCAGCTACCAAGCAGAAGCAGCAGCTACCAAGCAGCAGCAGCAGCAGCAGCAGGAGCAACTACCAAGCAGCAGCAGCAGGAGCAGCAGCAGCAGCAGCAAACCACCAAGCAGCAGCTACCAAGCAGCAGCAGTGGTAGCAAACCACCAAGCAACAGCAGCAACAGCAGCAAAAGAGCAGCAACTAAGAAACATACAAACAGGAGCAGCAGCAGCAGCGACAAAGAACAGCAACAGCACGTTGGGAACTGAGAACCGGTCCGGGGGTGAAGGGTGGAGTTCAACCCGCGCGGGGGGAAGGGGAGGAGGAGAGGGGAGGCGAGGAGAGGAGAGGGGAGGGGAGGGGAGGGGAGGGGAGGGACGGGGGGGGGTCTAACCCTGATATATCAGGCGTTAGCACTCAGGTCCTGGGTTCCCACCCTCCTTGCTAAAGCAAGACAGACTCCAGCTAGCTACAGCTAGCTTTCGTGACTAAGCCAGAGACTTGGGACTGAAAGCAAGAAGGAAAACAAGAGCGACCAAATGCAGCAAAGCTACCTTTGGAACATTCAGCTGTCTTAACACTAGCCAACTCTGAATTTCATGTCAAGAATGCAGAATGCCAATCAACAAAAAAAACGCAAAAGGCTCTTTGCTGGTCTTTGTGAGGAACAATGGGCCCTCGGCGGCCTCCTCTTCGCGTGGTTGATCTTGCCTTGGTCTCGTTGGTCATCCGCCGTTGGTCATTGGTGTGGATCCACGATTTGGCGTCTCCGTCTAGGTGGCAAAAAAGACTTTGAGTCCTTTCTTTCTGTTGACCACCAGTCCTTTTTGCGTCATAGATCTCTATCCTGATTATCTTCTAGCTTGTGAACTCTGGCGGTATGATGGAGAAGGAAAAGGGGGACTCAACATGCACATCTCTTGTATATGTTTACTGTTTACTGTTTCCAGGGCAAAAAACAATACACCCAAAGAAAAAATGTACAAAACACTTGCAAATCAACTTGTGTAGTACCAGTAAAAAAAGGTTATGTTGAGATTGCATGTGCTTACTCTCCTTGATTGAATCTTGGCTGGAGTGAATCGTTTGAGAGGACCCGTTTGGCCCTGGCTTCTGTTGAGCGTCTTCTTCAGCACTCGCTGCGCTAGCGCATTGACCTCCTGCAAAACCATCTCATCATTGGGATTGCTCGAGGCCCACCTCACTAAACGAGACACACACTTCGAGCAGGTGACAGGTGCATATTTTCGCTATACCTGTTTGATCCTTGTGATTCATGTTTTTGTCTTGAGTCTTAACTACTCTTCAACGAGACGATAACAAAGATGAACAAAGCATTAACTTGTTCAGGCTCGGATTACCGTACACTCCGACTCAATCATAGAAGGCAAAGGCTTCAGAATCCTCTTCGCAGGGGTCATGCATGGTCCACTTCCTTGCAGGTGAGTAGGACTTTGATAAGGAATCTTGAGATATCTTGAGTTTCTGAAGTGAATCTATTAATGGTCGAGCCACACATAATGACAGCGAGACAGGAGGATGAGTTGCTCTGCCGCTTTAAGGGGCCTCTCAATCTGCTGACGCTCCTCTTCAGACAACGAAGTCGAGAGCTTAGGCGTTTCCAGCACGTCTGTCAGATCATCCACGGCCTTTAAACTCAAGGTCCCTGGCTGTGCAGCGTGAACGTCAACGTCCAAAAGTGGTTGGAAAAGGCTGTCCCCATCCCCTACGTAACATGCAATTGCACATCATAAAGAATCATAACCATATGATACGTCAACTATATATACTATATACAATAATATGGTAATCTACATGTTAAAGTTACAAACCAAGATCATTATACTATTTACACACATGTGCAGCAACAATTATCATTACATCTGCACAAATACACAACCATGTACATACAGACTTATATATATGACTTATATATATATATAACACTAGATTGACCTAGGTGATGAGCAAACAAACTATACATGCATGCTATATGTACGTGTGTGTGTGTGTCAGTGTAAGCCAAACCTCAACGCATCTTCATCAGCAAACAGCTTCTTCCGCCCATTTCTCCATTTTGCCCACCTGGTGCTTTTCCATCCAATTCCTCCACCTCAATGCCTTTCAGCTTCTCTTTGGTCTGGGTCTTCACCACCAGCTGCGCGAACCTCAAAGATCAGTCTCAAGGCTGTGGAGGGAGTCAACTCATTTCAAGGCTCTGGAGGAACCTCCCCAGGAACGCGAGGAATGTGTATCACTGTAGCACTGTATCAGCATGCATCAGCTACTTATCAGCTATATATTTGTGGGGGCATGCTACTGAGCTACCGCTGCTGGGCCATCTAAATGTTGAAAACTGGAACCCATTGGATCCATTGCCAAGTGTCCCTACTAGAAGGCTAATATTAATATGCTCTTCTCAAATACTAGTAGCACCTGCACGATGTTTGCAGCTCAGGTGGCTCGGTGATCTGATGCTCCCGTTTGGTGCCCAACACGCCGGTGAGCTCGTAGCTGAAGCCCATCGCCTCACAGGCTGCCTGGGAGCAAAGTGGCCACACCTTTAAGCGGCTGTACCAGCAAAGGCGATTGGCGACCTCCACCTTGGCCAGGCGTGCAAACAGGTGAAGAAACCAAAACAGTGCCAGGAAAAAGCACCATCCGACGCTTTGGATGTTTGTTCCCGGTGGAGACATTAGGCTTTGTAAAATGGTTTTGATGTGGGAGGTGTGTCAGGCAGGCACAACTGTTGGGTGGATGAGACACTTGCGTGGGATTTGCTTGGGTTTGAGGTTTTCCACGGCTAGAGTTGAAAGAGGGGGACACAACAGGGGGGGCCGACACACCTGGCAATGCCCCGACCGCTCCCCAGCCGTTCTGGGCTTCCCCCCGTCTCACATCCAAACCAAGCGCAGCCTGAAGTTCTGTTTGAGGCGCAAACCTCCCGCAAACACTCCCCCCCCCCAAAAAATATAACAATAAGAAACAGCAACTGATACACCCGAGAAAATTAACATGGAACCTGAAAGTGGACCTTTGGAAGACTATTTCCCTCTACAACCCAGTGGTTTTCAGGTTCCATGTTAAGTTTCCTGGGTGTACTCATCCTTGGCCAAACACCATGATGCATGCGCGGATAGCTTCTGGAGCGTTGACCAATGGGTTTGACACGTCCTCCGGTGCATCAAAGACCCCCAGCATCGCTTCCAATGCATCACCCTCCTCAGCTGCCTCCTCTTCAGCAATCACCTGCTGATGAAGCCGCTCTCCAAAGCTGCCCGGAGGGTTGGGTGAACTATCCCTAGGGTGGATGAACCCATCCACAAACATCCTAGCAAGTTGGAAGAATTCTTTTAATCAAGGTTGACGAAGGTTGACCAAATCATCAACAAATCAATCCAAATGCATGAATTGATCACCCGGGGCCTCATGGAAAACGAAGATTCGGCGGCTAACGACGGCCCAAGCACGCCCGGCATGGGGATGGAAGCGAATGTTGCCTCTCCGAAAATGGCCGTGGCAAGCTTTTGTTGTGCCTTGCCGGAGTCCTGGTGTTTCTATTTCATTCCAAACCGTTTTTGATCACATCCGGAACCCGAACAGCGCACTTGTTGTTCTCGCCCTGCGAACGGCACGGGGAGCGCATGTGTCGTGTGCACCTGAGGGCTCCCTTCAATCGGTGGCCGAGCACCCCTCTTGTAGCTTCGCAGCAGTGGTGCGGCGGCATTCTGGAGAGACGCACGTGTCTGGCGATTGAAGAAGCCAGTGGCCAAAGGGCTGGTGCTATCCTAGGTGGCCAAGGGGCGAAGCGAAAAGCACTGGGTGGCAAAGGTGGTCAAAGGCCAGCCGAGCAGACGGACGAAACGTGTAAGTCTTTTTAAGTGTCATTTCATGCACCCATGCTGGGAAGAAGAACGCAGGTTTCTTCGACACCCTGATTTCGAGGTCACATTCTCCAAATATTGAGTTGGATGAATTCTGTTTGAGTTTGGATGAATTCTCCGAACCATACTTGCGGATTGTCAGATGTTGGAAGCAACTCCTGCTAGTCTAACCTGGTGCCGTTTTTGTGCACCCCCCCTTCCCATCCCTTAAGGACGCTACGAACGGAGCAAAGGGCATCGCTACGAACGGAGCAAAGGGCATCGCTACGAACGGAGCAAGGACGCTACTAGTAAGTAGCTCCTGGCCTTACTACTAAGTAACAAGCAGCTACCAGCGTCACAAAGGGCATTTCAATCAACACTGAGCCGAAGGCCTCAGGAAGAATCCCTTCAGCCCAGGCTCGCCCGGTTCGCCCAGGAGGTCTGCCACAGAGGCCTCGTCCACGAGGCAGGTCGAAGCACCCAAAGACCAAGCATTTCGAAGTACTGCAGGTTCTTTCTCATCTGATTGTGTCAAATCGCATGCCTTGATCACTGATTACTAAGAACACTACTTGGAGGAACACTTGATGAGGTCACCCATCTTGTCAAGGACGCAATCTCAAATGAGAAAGATGTTGTGCATCTGAGCACTTCTTCACTTCTCTAAGGCAAATCCTCGGGCTCATATCATATAATCATATCATTATATATATATATTGCTTTGACATGCTTTGACTACTCTTCTGGCTGGGCTCCACACAAACAGCCAGCACTGCTATTCTGCGACGTTCCAAGGGGCAAACGTCAAAAATAAACACTCAGCACATCTCAGCACTGCACCACAAATCCCATAAACACTCAGGTTCTTAGACCTGACCTCCCTCCCTCCCTGTCCGCTCGTCCCGGCCTGGAAGAGGTGTGGGCACTGCCCACTTCCACGCTCCGAGGCATCGGCGACGCTGAGCTGCCAGGCGAAGGCACAGCGAGCGCGCCAGAAGGGCACGGTGGCACCGGATCCCACCTGTGCGACGGAGCGCAGGTGGATCGAGGCAGCGGAAAATAGGAGTCATTAATCTTTACATTGAGAAACGGTTAGCAGATGTTAGCAGCACAAGCATACCCTTAGAAGAAGCCTTTGGGCAATACAGCACTCAACAACCACAGGGAATTCTGCCCCGCTCGGCTCTTGCGGAGACGTTTCCACTGTCGGGCAACGGGCTGGCGCTGGAAGTCTTCATTACATCTCCCTTTGCACATGGCAGAAAACCAGTAGGAAACACTGAGTGCCAATTCCCTATAGGTTAGGCAGAATGAAGTTCAATCAACTTTCCAGGCAATGGGGCAAGTATAAGTATAAACGACGTGCCTGAAAGCAAGTATGTTTATCCTCTGCTGCTGTGGTGATTCCAACATTTTGACCAATCCATATATATATATATATATCAACCCCATGCTGAACAATGTACATGCAAATCGGTATGCAGCAAATGCTGGAAAGCTTACGCCCCGCCTGATTCTCAGATCCAGCCAGGCCTAGAAGCACAGCCGCCAGCCACAAATACCCCGGGCAAGCAAGAAGTTCATAGACCGCTTCGCCATCGACTTCCAAGGCTGCGAGGATCGCACGATGAGCTTCCTCGTCCTGAGACTCTTTGGACGGACATCGACGGACTCACGTCGAGTCGGATGCCGAGGCTCCACGGCTGAAGGATGAAAGGGCAATCGAGCATCATCGGCCTGCCATAAAAAAGAAACGGGGATGATGACGACACATTAGCCTCACTACCAATCCGGCCGCATGAACATGAAGTGCTTCACCAAGCAGGTCAGATACCCCGTTGTACTGGCGTCCGGGGTCAGTACCGGATAATTTCCAGGGACTGACGGGTTTTTAGCCAAAACCGGTGGATAAATTTGAAGGCCAGAGGGCCAACATAAGCCCCCCCCAAAAAAAAAGTACACAACCAGTGCAGATAGATAATTTTGAGAAGGCCTGAGGTTAGCAAGCTAGACGAATAGGATCATGACGTCCATGGAGCTCGGAAAATCTAACGAGCGGAAATCTAACGAACGTCCAGCGAGCGAGGTTCTATCTTTTCTTTCCTTTTCTACTCCCACTAGCGAGTGGATAAAATTGGGGCGTTTATTCTGGATATTTTTGATGCACTGACCCCATTTTATCCACCCCCAAACAATATTATCCACTCCTTACTTGGGTTGATTTTTTTGGAGGACAGACCCCCTGGATAGGTTGCTGGCAGGCTGGCACACAGATAAAGTCCAGGCACTGACCCCTCCAATTTTATCCACTCAGTACGGCCCCCTATAGGTCAGGTTCAGCTTCAATGATTCTCGGGGTATTATGTTTGGATGAGACCTTGGAAGCGGCGCGGCGACGTGGCTATGGCAATTAATCAGTGCCTAAGAGCTTGGTGTATGTCCAGCCCAACCCGCTTGGGTGCCTCTTCTGGCGGCCCTGTCCAGTTGGCCCTCAAAAAGTGTTGTAAGGAGGCCACTGCCAGTGCTAGCAGTGCATGGCGAAGCAGCGGCGTAGAGCCGAAGCTGTGGCAAACACTGAGCAGATCGGCCTAGGCGACGGGATGCATGTGGCCCCTTTCGATGGTGCCAAATCCTGCAGTCTACCTGAAGGAGGTACGAGTAGACCCACTACACATGCAGGGAAAAAGTGTTTCGTCGATTTCTTCGGTGGCTCCTGGCATCGCTACGAACGGAGCGATCGGACACTACTAGGGGCTCCTGGCCTTACTACGAACGGAGCGATCGGACATTTAGAGGCTCAGGCCAGTCAGTCTGATGGGTCGAAACGGCTCCACACACCCGGTCCATCGCGGGTGAACCGAAACAGTGCGGCAGTTCTGGGAGTCTTTCGCTTGCTCCCGCGGGACCCGCACTCATTACGCCAATCGGCTTGTAGTCTTTCAACACCGCCGGCTGATAGGGCCACTTCCACCTGCGATGATGGACACAGATATGATATGCGTTTGATGCTTGGCTAACATATGGCTTAATTCTCAGCTATGGCCCAACCTGATCTGCTTGCAGCACACACACACACACACGACCTCAGCAAACATCCACCTCAACCTACGACAATCTTGAGCAAATACCAAAACAAAACCCGTGCTGAGAACACATGTTCCTCATCCGCAGGTGACACGGGGTGACTCTCAAAGGATCTCAAAGGGGAGGGAGTCACAAGGAGTCACAATAGCAACAGGCGCCACCCGGGTTCGCCGGAACCGGAACCGGCACCTGGTGGCGGAGGGAAAGATAGGGAAAGTCATGTGACGTTCATCACGGATCAGCCCCAAAAAAGGTCCTGGATGAACGAGCATCTGAAAATTTTGGAGAGGCCTAACGACGCCTGACGCATTCCAAACCTTAAAAGATTTTGAGGACATCTGATGCTCGGAGTGCTCGGAACTTGGCCTTGGCGCGCGTGAGGCACTCAGCCATGGGGCGCATTTGCTCCTCCTGCCACATCTCGGCGACCCGCCCGCTGCGCGCAGCGTTGAAGAGCCGCAGGAGTGACTCGGCCTCGGCCTTGACACCAAACGCGGTGGATCTGATGGTGAAGCGCAGGGACTTTTCCATGATTTTCCAAAGGTCGTGGAGGTGGAAAAGGTGTATGATATCAGAGATCGTGGAATGGGCGTCTGTTATATCAACAATCAACACTTTTTAGGGGTAGTTTGGGGGGGCTAACCACCTTCTGAGGATATGGTTGAAGCCGTAGGGACTGATACAGTATCACTATGGAAAGAGTTTTTTCGTCAAGGGCCGCGTCAAGGGGTCACCCTCAGGCGGCATAAGGTTTAGATCAGTTGAGGCGCATGAACCCGGTTCGGTGGCTATCAGTCGGCGAATTCGCTGGCATCCGCGTTTGGGTGTTTGCGCTGTTTCAGTCGGTGCCAACATGTGCCAACCATTCCGACTTGGGGTGTTTGCATGTGTTTGCGCTCCAAAAGCTCCAAACAGTCGCACCCCTGGCCAATCGCGGTTGTACCTTGGTCTCCTGTGGTAGGCCATCCACCTTGGGCAGCACAGTGGGCTCGATGGACAGCAGCGCGTACTCCAGGCGCAGAAGGAAGTGTGACGTCATTGCATCCATGGCGACTGAGAGTAGCAGAGCAGCAGCTAAAAATTCTGAACTGACCTTGTTGGTAAGAACTCTTAAGTCTGTCAATCAACCAGTGATCCCGTTCAAGGACGTAGGTCCCGTGGGTAATGACTTGTGACGTGGATGTATGAACTGATCTCCACTGCAAATGGCATCTCAAATAACATTTGCATACATTTGCGCATGGTTCGAGTGAAGATAGGGCAATGGCGTTGCGAACTGGATGCCCCTGTGAGGGTGTGGGGAGGCAGTTGAGATGGCCGTTCACAACTATATTTGGAAGCCTTGTGCCAGACCATGTGTTCCAGTTATTGCAGCTGGTATGTATGACCACATAAGCCAGGGGCAGCAATGATCCAAACATCCAGTCGCGGCAGTTGTTGAGGTAGTGATTGAAACCAAGTCCTACACTCCGACTCAGCCCTGGCAAGCCTGCTTTCACCCAAAAGCAAGGGATTTTCCATATCGAAGTTTCTTGCAGCAAGGTACCTCTCAGCATCCAGTCATAAAGGATTCTGCACCGTCCCCCACGCCCTCCACAGAAATGTTAAAACCAAATAGGTCATGCTCACGCAAATAGAACATGGAACCATGGCATGGCAATATATGGACACATGTAAAACATCCAACATCCACCATCTTAGAGAAAACCTGTACCTGACATGAAAACGATAAGTAATATATATATATATATTTCAGAAGTAAATGCATGAAGGCTGAGCTGGGAGAAAACATGAGAAAACTATTTCGGGACTTCCTGCCCCTCCACCCAGCGCATAGCGGCGCATAGCGGCGCCAGGCTGATGCCAGGCTGAGCTGGAGGCTGTACAAAGAGGACGATCGAACTGGCCTCGAGGGTGGCCAAATCATGCCTATAATGATTACTTTGTCGATATGTCCTCCCTAGACGAAATGAAAGGCACTAAGGCGCCTGGCACTTTACTAACATTGTGATCATCAAACATATTGTCTGTCAAATCTTCTATGCCCTTGGCTCACCGGTACCATCACAAGGAAGTCAAACGAAACCACATCAGCATTTCCCCCTTTCAACATCGTGCGCCTACGTGTGAATACGTGGCAGAAAGAAGCGGGATGAGGCCTCCAATCGGTCAAAGAACCTCTCCCCAACGACCCGTGTATGATGGTGGTATACATGACACCCCCGGGCCCCATCGTTTTGTCTTTGCATCTTGGTCATGTCCAAGAAGAAGGCACTGGCGTCCGCAACCACGCCCAACCAATCGGGTCAGTCTTCTTCCCCCAAACCATCCATTGATGGAATAGTTGCTTACATTTAGGGTCATCAATGGGAATTAGTTTTCCCTGGTGGGTGGCCGTGGAACATTAGCTACTTTTCCGGGTCCATGCAAGAATGGCCATTACTCATGAACACCCTGGCACGTCTGGCCACCCTCATGGCCACCCGTTTCGGACTTCCTCCGCCGGTGTCGAAGATGGCGAACTCTCTTCTCTGAGGACCTGGACCCCACCACCGGACAACAGCGCGGAGCCCACGAGCTCCGGGTCCTGAAGCTGCGACTGGAGGGGACGCAACGTGAGTCGGGACATGAGTCGGGACGGGTGGGTGGGTGGGTGAAGGGTATCAAGTATACTGCATGAACGATTGATGAACGCAAATGCACGTAAAGAGATGTATATAAAAAAGAGTGACGAAAGCCCATATCCAAATGACAAAAGTGCAGATGGCATGGCACTTGTAAAGTCCTTTTCTCAACTAACAGTAGACTCTTTTGCCTCAACGGGCCGCAAAGCAAAAGGAACGACAACAGTTGTCGTTCATCACTTGAACAATATATGAGTCAGTGGCGGGTTCAATCATCCCAAGTGGTTGAAGATAAACATATCCAAAACCACCACCTCAAGGAATAAATCACAGCTTCCACCTCTTACCAGGACTCCGCTGGGACAGGCAAGTTCGCCCCACCAGTCATGGAGCAGTTCGCCCATCAAAGGCCCTCACTGAGTCATTCTGAGCGTCACAAACCCACAGGTCCCCACAAATCCCCACAGTTCAGTTCTTTGTTGACTTTGTTTGAAAACGATTAGCCGTTAGGTTTCAACCAGGACTACGGGTCTACCACGTTCAAAGTGTTGGGTCACGCAGGGCCAGTGGCAGCATGCCCCGGGCCTCTGGGCAGTATCTTTGCTGGACTGCCTGAGTGCAATGAACGGGGCTGGCTCTCATCAGTTCATGGCAGTTGAACGGCTATCCTTTGGAGGCAAAAACTGGCCAACACATCTAAGTAAGAGACGCTCAAGCCAGGGGGTCTTTTCAGCCTAGCTTTCGCCGCCTTTTGTGGCTCTTCAGTAAGTTACACAGTTTTACTGTCCAGTTTTATCCAGTTTGGAAAAAGCGCCGCCAGTAGATCTTATCAAACATGATCGGGATTTGCTCGCCAAGCGGACCAGCGAAAAAGCACTCTGAGCACCACAGCTCCTGCCTTTCCCACTTTTTTCCACACCCAACACCTGAGCAAGTCCAAGCGCATGGAGTTGCTGGAAGTTCTGCTGCTGGCAGTCCTGCAGAAGCTGCTGCAGCGTGGTCATCCATAAAGAGCGCTTAGGCCACTCATGACGCCGCTCCACGTGCTGGAAGACCTGTTGGCGGCTGCATGGGGGCAGCCACTCGATGCCCTCCAGGCTGGCCCAGAAGGCCATGGGAAAGTTGGCCAAGGTGTCGGCAGCCAGGTAGAGAAACTCGGCAGCGTCCAGAAAACCCGAGTCCTCGGCACGGTTTTCCGAGTTTCGGAGCAACACGAGAAGCGAACTGAATCGTAGTCGGGTGGGTGGGTGAACATGGGGTGAATTATCAGAACCATGGCAGTGACGACAACAACAGCTGGAAAACAATAATATGAATAATATGTATACTGTTAACCACAGGCAAAAGTAGAAACAGCATCAGTAGCAACAACATAACAAATCAGCAAGAACAACCAAAACGAAACAAAAATCAACAAACCCAAAACATTGATAAGTAATGCACAACAAAACAACACGACTCAAACGATATTAACAACCACAGCAACAACATGCACATGCAACAACAACATTGTCAACGACAAACAACAAGTTAAACACCAGCACAAACACATAGTAAATGTGTGTTGCTGGAGAAGGACGCTGAGCATCCCACTTGGTCAATGACCCCTGTTCAATTAAGGCCGTGCACACGGACTTGCAAAGACTGGGCAGCTGGTTCACGAGCACGTCTGTGACAGCCTGGATGTCAGTGGCACTTCTTGGCAGAAGCAATGTGAGCCACCGCAGCAGAACATCTGCTGCAAATAGTGGCAAAGTGATGCAAAGCAGTTTCAAGAGCTTATCAACAAGAGTCAAATTGGCCAACAAGCTTTTACGCAGCAAGCCGCCACATGCCTGCCCACGTGCCAGTGCCAAAGCCCTAGTCCACAAAGAATAGAGAGCCTTCACCACAGCGGGGTCTTGCAAGGCTTCTGGCAGTGTCATGGCAAGATCAGTGATCACATGAATGGTTTGCACTAAAGCGTTCACGGCTGGTGGCTCTTCCAGAGACGTACCCGGCAAACTTCGAAGCACCTGCTCCAAGGTGTGCAAGCAGGTCTCAAGCCCATGTGCCCCCCGCTCCCGCGCACTCTGCATCAGCAATGTGAGGGCTTCCTGCAGCAAGCACGGTACCGCGCATGCGGCTGAAATCACCTCCATCGCAGAAGCCAAAGGTTGTAGCCGGCCTGAAGCAGTGTCAAAGGAGCAGGGCACCCGAAGCATTGAGAGCTCCAAGAATCGCCAATGGGCACGACAAAGACTCAGGGGCGCACTGAGTGTCTGCTCACACTGAGCGTCTGCCGATGCCTTCAGCACCGAGTGCATGATGGCTAGGATCATTCTCAAGGCTAACCAGCTCATGGAGGTGTCCGCCTGAACGCTCCCGCAAAGCCGAGGAAGCACCTCAGGGGTCCCCACTCAAAAAAAGAAGAAAGCATTGATTACCAGGCATGGGCTAGTAAAGGTGAAGCACCTCCTCTCTTCAAGCAAACAGCGCCAAAGAATCCCAAAGAGCCCGAATCATTGCTGAAAGCCCCTGGAATCCATGGAAGGAATCTATATATAGAGTCTATAGTTGGCAATTGGCAAGATCAACATTCTATTACTGTACTTCATGTTGCATCGTTTTACCATATGTTAATATATGTGGCATTCTTTTGGCAGCACCCCGTTTCACCCAAAATGGCCTCCCGGCTCAACGCTGAGCACAGTCGATCCAGGTCAGGGCGCATCACATGACCCAACGCCTGCAAGAGTCGTCCTTTGGCTTCTGCGCTGTATGGGTGGAGAGAGCTTGGCACCTGGCACGGTTTGTTGAATCAACTGCTGATAGGGACCTGTAAGGAAACGAAAGTAAATATGACCGGTGCTGTATGTTAACCTAGTGAAAGAAAAAAAAAACGAACCACACGCACGCAAGGCACATCTAGCACTGACTTGAGCTTTTTGGTCATCACTCAGTTTACACCTCGCCAAAGCCTCTTGATTAACCAAGAAAGCACCTTGGATTCTCATTCCTCACCTGCAAAGCCAAGCGCAAGACCTTCTCCGCCAGCGAGTCCCGACCTTGCGCGGTCGTTGGGAGCCGCCGGCACGTCCTCTCCAGGCTCGAGGCCCATGGGGACTCCACGACCTCGCGCGGCCAAGCGCGCCGGTGTTCGGTTCGGTGCGGAGGCAGCTCACTTTCGGAACAGTCTCTCGAACTCAGGCCATCGCACACCCCCGAATCTATGGACCTCGAATATCCCATGGGGAGTTGGACATGTTTGGACAAGGATCTGTTGAAATTCTGTCGCGTGAGTATTTATAGGCGGCCGGAGTTGACCTCCATCAGATCGAGAAAACTCTTGAAACCAGTGACCAGTACAGGAAACAGGTGCGAATCACATGGAATCACCTGCAATTGGAGATCTTGACAATCGCCCCCTGGAATTGCCAAATCACATGAAATGAGAGGAATCAATGGGAATCGGCCTGAGTTTGTTGCTTGGAGCATGCTTAGTGGGGCACCCCCTGAAACTACATGGAACCTGAATGTGACACCATAAATGACATAACAATACTGGTGGTTGGTTTTCGTGTAGTCCTTTGCCCATCCGTTTCCGGGTTTCGCACTCTTCCCCATTTCCCAGTCCTCCAAGAGCTCGCAGGGACCTTCAGGTGGCCGCTCCAAGATCCACTCCGCCAAGCGCAAGGACAGCTCCGGAGGGCCCGTCGAAGCTAAACAACTGGCCTCCACGGTGTTTGGTCTTTCCACCATAAATCGAAGTCATGTATCATCGAGATCGCCGAGATTTCTAGAATCATTGAGAAATTGAAACATCAATTTCACAAAGGGTGCGCTTTTATTGGAGGAATTACCTAAACGCAACACCAAATAGCTATCCTTTTACATAAAGCAGCATTGTCGACCAGGATCTTTGGGGTTCCATTTTGCTCAGCTAAAAAGCGTCGCAGGGTTGACTATGGCAAGCATGAGTGCAAAATCATCAACAATCTGTTGTGCTGCTTTTAACGACTCTCCAGAATCACTGAGTGAGTATGCTCTGACTTTTGTGGTCCTCTAACTCTAATCTCATCGATCAATGTGAAAAAATAAATTATTTCCTGTCTGGTACTATACCCTTTCTTGTTATTAATGACTATATTAATGGGTAGCACGGTAGCACTTTCGCATGTCCGATTTCAGGGCATCCAGCATCGACCACTCGGAGTTCACAAGCCGAGCTTCCCCGGCCTTCGAAGCGGGTTAGCGGGTTTATACCGGCCTGCATCCAGACCAGGGAACGCCAGGCAGGCGAGAAGCTATCGAGTGGCAAAGCCAGCAGCAATCCAGCTGCGGGGGCGCCTTCCCAGCTGGCTGCCAGTGTGTAGGAGAACCAAAGGACCACCTCGGCCTCCTGAAAGATTGAACAACTATGAAAAACTTAGACTTAGATGGAAGTTGGAAGGAAGGCAACATATAGGAGGATTGAAGATCTTTGGGGTTGTCAACCTGACAGTTGTCATTTTCATCATTTCGGGTTGATTTCATGAGCTCAGTTCAGTGAACACCAAGTTCCAAATCAACGATCCAAAGTCAATGATGCTCCAGAACACCCAACCAATTGTGAGACCCAAAAATGCTCACAGACTTACAATTTAGACATATAGACTATAGAGCCAATAATAGCAGTCTTCTGTTCAGTGAAGCCCTTTGGGTCCCAAGTCCACCTGAATAAGTTGCAAAGGTCCTCCAGCTGGGCTTGGCCTCCCCTGAAGAACATATAGACAAATCGATAGCGTGTCCAGATGTCTCCAGTTTCCCATGTCTCCTGGGCCAAGGAATCGCTCGTGGTCACATGCCTAAGCTTCTGCGCCAAGAGCTCCAGCGGCGCCCAGGTGGCGGAATGCCAGGCCATCGAATCGCCCACCAGCCGGGCCCACACGGCGACAGCTTTCTGTGCAGCGGCGCGTGGCTCGGTCGGAGCGAGGGCGGCCTCCACTGAAGGAAGCCTCAAGGACCGTAAAAGCTCCTGCCCAACAGGAGCTTAGAGAAAGGTGTGGTGCGACTACGGATTCTGCTGAAGAAGGAGCGATTCGGAAATGCCTAAGGAATACGTGGGATTCGTGGGCATGCTCATCATCCATGTTCCGTCATTTGATCCGATTTGATGCCATTCATCCTCATCATTGTCCGACATGGCACACTGGTCGTCTAACCTCATCGGGCCCGTCTCCTGCGCCAGGAGCCCAAACATCTCTGGCAAAATGGGTGATGTCAAAGCCTCCTCATGTGGCCACCACTCAGCATGGCATCCATAGCCCCTCTCAGCTTCGTCTTCCCACTCCATGGTTCCCTCGAGCACCGTGGCCGCGAAGCTTTGCCACGCTCCCAAGGCTGCGTCTGCATCACTGGAATTCACAAAGCCTTGGAGGTTTCAAGGCTGCCAAGGCACCAGCTACAGGGAACACGCAAGAAATTGCGGGCCCCTTGTCAAACAAACCGCAAACACATATCCAAAGCGAAAAGTTAAACCGCCACAACAACCTTTCTCAGGCAGATGGAAGATCAAGGACAGGACGTGTGACAGAAATGGCTGCTGAGTGGCATGTAGTTACCGCATGGTACCACCACAGTAAGGAACCAGCACTTTCACGCAGGAATGTCGAAAGCAACTCGTGTGGTGAAAAAGAAAATCCGATGTGGCCTGGCCCCACGGTCCAAATCAGCGGGTGGGATGCAGCTGGTGGATCAGCAATTTGGAGAATGGAAGCTGTTGGCACGCGTGCCACCAACACAAGCAAGCACCTCTTTTTAGAACTGTTAATGTTGGATCTCGATTAGTAAAGGGGTCTTCTATAATGCTAAAATTTTCCAAATATATTGAGACCCCCATGTTTGAAAAATGGATCCTGAATAATGCTAATTTGTTTTGGGGTCCCTAAATGTTTAAATTGGAAACCAAGGGTTGGAAATCCTTCTGAGGCCAATGATTATGATTCATTAGCTGATATAGCTTTCTCTAGGTTTCTTCAAAACTGACAGCTGACCAAAACCACCAATTCCTAATTAAACCCTTTATAAAACATTGTTCCTAAACAAATTTTCAATGTAGTAGACCAGGAAGGCACCTGATCCTCAATAATAGATTTGTTTTTGGGTTCTCAATTGTGAAAAGTTTTTTCCACTGGAAAAATGCTCATGAAATCTTCCTTTCCTTAGCTCCTGAGGCCAATGATTATGATTCATTAGCTGATATAGCTTTCTCTAGGTTTCTTCAAAACTGACAGCTGACCAAAACCACTAATTCCTAATTAAACCCTCTATAAAACATTGCTCCTAAACAAATTTTCATTGTAGTAGACCAGGAAGGCACCTGATCCTCAATAATCGATTTGTTTTTGGGTTCTCAATTGTGAAAAGTTTTTTCCACTGGAAAAAGCTGCTCATGGAATCTTCCTTTACTTAGGAAGCCATGGAAGCTCAGGAAGAAGCTGAAAGCTTGGGGCTTCTCTTGAGCTGAAGATCTGAGGCTGCAAAGCAAAAGGATTGCTGAGAACAATTACAAAGCACCTGAGAAAGGAAGCTGAATACAATCTATGAAAGGAAAATGAATACTACAATCAATTACAAAAAGGAATTCTCACAGGAATCCAGACTTGTTTTGGTGATAATTGATTATAGAAGGTCTCCTGTTTGTTTGATGGGGGGGCCCTCTACTAATCAGGATCGCACATTAGGCCACTTACCTGCCAGGAATCATCGCTATACAACCCTGCCACTGCTGCACTCCTGCAAACATCACATCTCTTTGGCTACCAGCACGTGCTTGTTCCGGGTCGTCCATTCTATTGCAGGTGCTCGCATCCCCCTTCCCCATCCATAAATCCAAGACGCTTAAGGTGGCCACAGCAAGATCCTGGAGGTTTAAGGCATCTGGCACTTCCAAACATGCCCGTGGCCAGCGATCCGCAGCCAAATCGACCAAGACTGGCAGCAAAGGCACCAAGCGAGGTTGGCGAGCCGACAGGGGCAATAAGAGATCCAGCAGGGGACGCCTTAGTAACACGACCCGGGGGTCCACTGGGGAGATGTACGAACACTTTGCTGTACAAACCGTTTGGTTCCATGATCGTCCCTAGCCCGAGAGGAGGGGAACACCTTTTCAATCTACTGTAAACCCTTTCGCTTGAGTTCTGAATCGCGCCGACTAAAACAAGACCCACAAAGCAAGGTTGAACATGTGTATTTTTTGAGGTCCAAGGCGCAACAAGGGCCAAACCTGGGCGTCATACAAAGGCCATCTCGCCAATTGCTGCGCCACCTCGCAAGCCTCTTCAGGAAAGGCCTGAGCAAGCATCAGCAGTTTCACCTTGCAGGGTTTCGGTTCGGTCCGAACTGGATTCCTCCAAGATTGAATTGGTCACACTGGGCGCCGGAAGCGTCTACTCTACTCTAAACCCACCCAAACGTGGTGTTACCGCTACAGTAGTAATGGAGGAACACATATTACCAGGGCCTCTCTATCTCTTTCTGTCTTCTCTCTATCGCTCTATCTCTCTATCTATCTTTCTTTCTATCTACCTTTTATCTATCAATCTATCTACCTACCTATCATATCTATCAAATGTACCTAATCTATCTATTTTTTATGTATGTATATCTACTGAAGTTCTATCTCGATCTTTGTCTATCTCTCTATCTCTCTATCTATCCATTAGATCTATATCTGTCATTACCGACCTTTCTTTCTATACTTCTTTGACAGCGCAGGCAACCTGGCCTGCTAGTTCGCCGCCGGCCGGACGGCCACCCAGGTAACTATAGAGGCCGGCCGGCCGGCCATCTAGTAGTAGTAGTATAGGAGGAGTAGTAGTAGTAGTCGTAGTAGTAGTGGTTGACTCGGCTAGCGGTTTCTTCCGCGGCCGGCCGGCCGGCCCGCGCCGGAATCGGCCGGCCGGCGGGCTGGTACGCTATCGGCCAGCCGGCGGGCGGTGTACACCGTTGCTACGATAGATGCTAGCTGCTAGTGTCTATACTTAGCTATGTACTTAGCTCAGCACTTAGCCGATCTAGCTAAGTCCTTATCAAGTGGTACTTAAATTATGTATTTGCACTATTTTCCTAACCTATAGTTTAGCTAACTAGATACTAAATAGTCTAAGTTCTATGAGTAGTTACGTGTAGCGGAATCATTCAGTGGTGACCTGGGGCACTTGGTGTCAACCGAACTGCGTTCTATTGGAACAATCAATATAGGCTCGGTTCCGGCAGCAGGTGGTTTACACAATACATGTGGCTCGAAACAAAAACGACAAAACACCTTCTTCTCTCTTGTTTCGTGTTTGACCAGCTACTTCTTGCAAACGGGGAGCTGTAAAGACGGTTTTGCTGCAAACTCTCTTTAGAGGGAGTGGTTCCTCGAGATATTCAGGCACTGGCTGTGAACTTTGTCGACCACCGCATGCACACACCACGCACTTGAAAGCAAAGTTCGATCTGTTTTCCCGGGCTGGTGGCGGAGGTGGTGTTGCATTTGGGTCAACGAAGGTGCAAACAGGAAGGAAAAATAACGTGTGAAAGCAAGGATTGAATCTGAGGAGTATGTGTGGGTGATGCATGTTCTATAGCACTAGAGCTTTAAGTGTTATAAAAGGAAGAACAACCATATCTGCATCAACCCTTCCTTTGATCCTCTCATGACCAAAGTTCATCCAGCTCCGCGGCCCAGGAGGTGGGGTGGACGAAAGAGCTGTTTACGTGGACAGGGTGGGCTTAGCGGTTTTGTTCTGGAGTTGCGAGACGGAATATTGTGTCGCGATAAACCCCACGCGGTTGGATGGCCTATCCCCCACACTGTTCGCACAACAGCGACAAAGAACCCCTTTCGATATGAATCAGCCACAGTTCCTTGCTCTTCCAGGCAAGATGCTTCTGGGGGATGAGGGCGCATCTCGGTGAATGCGGCCGACTGCTCCAAGCCTTGACATTAAGTATACTGTCCAGCACAAGGTACCTCAAACGCCATGAGATCGACCATGCAAGCCTGACAGATGACCCTCGAGCGACGCGGCTCTCAAATCTAGGGCCCGACCCGCCGCACCCAGGAGGTCACCAACACATTTCAGGCGCACACTTCCTGTATAACGCGCGAGGACCAAAAACCTTCCCGTAATATGGCGGGTGGAATGTCACGCGCGCAGCCATCGCTGTTGAGAAATCGATCAATATTGTCACTATATAGCTGGCAAGAACCCTACGAATTGGTGCTTCACGTGCGTTAAAGTCGTAACAAGTCTTTTCGAGCCGGCCGCTTGCTGGTAGCGGCAACAAATCCAGTGACACCTTGGGACTTCCGTTCCGGAGGCCGAGAGGTCACTCCTCAGCGACCTCATCTCCAACTTCAGCTGGATCATGGCAAAGTGCTGCCAAAGCATTCGGGCCGCGCTCAACCCATCCTTCTCTGGGCTCTGCTGCGTCGCAAAAAAGTATAGCTATGACCTCAAAGTATCGGTGTGTAAAGTTCGTCACTGCACGTGGTATCATCCCTGCCAATATCGACCAGAATCGCTCATCGGCGACTGTGCTGGAGTGTACCGGCATAGCTTCGCTCTGCGTACACCGAGTGCGACAGACCTTCACGCCCACAGCCCTTCCAGTCCAAGAGGCCGGAGGGTGCGTTTCAGGTGGAGAGAACGTTTTTTGGTTCATGGCTTTTCGCTGGCAAAATGTTTCAGCGCTGACTGCAGGGAAGACTACTAACTTAGCGTCAACCGCACACGATCACCGAAACCCTGGCTAGTCCTTTTGCGTTTTTGAAATTGTATTGATTATAGTTAATCATATTTAAGCATGAAATTGTCACAAACAAGATCTAAAATGATTAGGAACTTCTCAAGCAAGAGTAAACATGACACAAATATGATTTATAAATGAGTTTGAACAACATTTCCCAGAGTAAAAGTATGAGTGAACCAAATGTCTTTTCACGAGTAAGTCCACGAGTGGAGCCACGAGTGAAGTTGAAGTGAACTTGCAAACAAAATGAAAGTTCAACATTTCCTTTTACGATAAGTTGACGAGTCGAGCGACATGTCAGGGATTGCAACAAGTTACTTGTTACAATCCCTGACACCCCTTCTGCTGGCCTCGTTGAAAGTGTTTGAAACTAGGAAGTTTTGGCTGAAGAGCTCTGTGCTGGCAGGGATTGTGACAAAGTAAGGTTTTTGAAACTAGTCAAGTATCGGCTGAAGGCATTGAGTATTCTTTTTGAAAGTAGTCAAGTTTTGGCTGTGCTGGCAGGGATTGTAAGATTTTTTGAATAGTAACAAGTATTTTTTTTGCTGGGCGCTGTGCTGGCAGGGATTGTTACTGTAAGATTTTTGAATCGCAAATGAATTGATCTCCAATTCTCGCATCTCGTGAAATCTTACTTGCACAGCGCCCTTCAGCAACAGTAACTAAGAATGCAAATTTTTTGACAGTCAGCTTGCATTTAGTTCAAACTTAGTTCTTGCGCCTACCATGTCAAGTGACCCATGATTCAATGAATGTCAGTCAGTGAAGGTTCCACCGCCCAAAGGTTTAGTTGGTTATAAGACTCACAACTTGTAACATGTTCTTCTAAAACAAATTGAAGTAGCAATAGTAGTAACTTAGTAGTATAGTCTCAAACCCTAAAAAACACTAAGAGCAGAATGAGGATGACAATGAGATGCTGACTTTCAAACAGAGTAGATTAAAGCATTTACTTGTCAGCTACAAACACACTTTTTGCATTTTCAAATTTTTTAAAATCATTTTTGCACTTTTAAAGCAAAAAGGTGCACAAACAAAATTTTATAAGCTTCAAATAAGATTAAACATGGTTCGGAGAAGGGTGCCCATCTGGAGGGTCAACTTTGGTTTGGGGAAACAAGCCTCCAAGCCTCCCTCTGCCACACCTACGTCGACACGGGCCCTGTAAATGGTTTAATTATGTATTTAGGATACAAAGAACCAATAAGAATCCTTTGATGCACGAATCGATTTCAAAAAACAAGCATGTAAACCATCCTGAAAAACACATCCATCTGAGTTTGGGCGGCAGGTACCGTGGCCGGTAATCTTCCGCAAAATTCCCTGCTTGTACCGCCACAAGGGGACGGGGCTTCCCATACCATTTTCTTATCCGCTTCAACTCCGTAGAAATCTCATGCGAGGAAGTAAAGTTGCAGTTGCCACCATCTCGCACCTGCACTCCAAAGCGAGCACGCAATCTTCCCAGGGTCCGCAAAGGTGTCCTCGCCTTGGGCAAGTTCATCCACGTGACAGATTTCACTACTTCGGGCCGGCGGTGCTGCTGGCAGCAGCCTCATTCGCCTCCAATTCGTTGGAACCCGTACAGAAGCCAGATTAGAAACTTCTGGTTGGTCAGCCTCACCCGCCTGCTTCTCCTTCTCAGGAGCGCTGAGACGTGTCAGAGCAGCACTGTAGTCAGCCTTGCAGCAGTTCATGGCTGTCTGGTGACTGGGCTGGTAAGAATTTTAAGACTCAGCAAAATTGTGGAATGGATGCGCAGCTTGCACAAAAAGGCTGAAGTGGCATCAGTTTTTGGGCTGGACGATTCACACTGCACCAAACCATCTGGCCAAACCTGCACAGGCTGGTGATCTCAAGTGTGTGGCTCTTCTACGCCTGATGGACGCTGATCAAAGACCAAACGTTAACCGTTAACATTCCCAACCTTGACACACGGCGCTCGTTCTGTTATCCTCAAAACCAAACACTGACTGCCTACAGATTCTTTCAATCCTGCCTGGGCGTACACGTCAGCAAGCTGAAGCCTATGGCCGGCGTAGCCGTCAGTGAAGTGATGCCCGCGCGCAGGTGGGCATCCGGCACTTCTTGGAGCAAAGGACGCAAATTTCTCAAGTCTGCTAAGTATGTCTTCACTAGGTGATGCGGTTGGAGGAGTCAGCGCAGTGCCATCCGTCCCGCAACACGCATGGACACAGGACCAAGGCCTGCGATTCGGCCATTCGATTTTAATGCAATTTTGTAATTTCCGTCGCCCCGCACAATGCTAGCAGAGTATGGCAGGCGCTCCAACTTCAACTTCATTGGGCAGCAAGGTGTGCATGGCTGCCATGGCCATACGACGCAGAACTGCTGCAAAGGGGGCGCTGCAACCGCCAGTCAGCTCTGGGGTTGGCCATCAAGGACACAGACGCGTAGGCGGCAACGTCACGCCGCAGCTCTCTTCCATTCCATTGCGTATAGAACCTGTGCAAGGCATAGCGGCATAGAGCAAAAAATTCTTGGTCGTGAGGATTGCCGCGCGCTGCTTCGCCGGCTGGTGTACTAGAAGCTTCTCCTGCGCAGACTCAGCCAGGGCGTCATTGATGTCCTTGTAAGTGACCGGAAACTGCAAACACTGCGCCTGATGCTTGCAAGTGCGCAGCTACGTATGTCTACCAGCCTGGGCAGTGGCAGGTCCAAAATCACCTTACTGGGTTGGGACTGTCTGTCCTTGGTAAGACTTTGTGACCGGGGCGTTCCTTCTCGTGCGCCAGGGCCGCAGTAGGCTTGATGGCAATGGCCTTGGGCCAACCGGCAGAGACAACTGCCAAATGCTCTTCTTCTGCATCATGGAGCCCGTAGCGGGACAGCTTCATGGATCTGCTGCACCTGCAACCAGGATTCAGCAGTATGGTTTGCGTGTGTCTGTGGGAGAATGTGTATGGTGGCCTGGTTGGAGCATCACGACACGTCTTCGCGTGTTCGAGACTGAAAGGTATGCTCTTCCATCTAACTTTGCAGGCTTGGAGGCTTCTGACTGCAAGTCGTCCTTGGAGACGTGGCTGACTCAAAACTTGCTGGACGTGGAGGCCATGCCTGAGTGCATCAAATGGGGTTGTGTGTGTGGGTGCGCTGATGGAACTCTCGGTTGGCGCAATGCCATAGAGCACCATGACCGCTCAGGCACTGTATCAAGCGAAGTGACTAACACATGTGAGATTGATTCCGAGAAGCAGAGTGGCATCCACTGCGCATCCCAGATATATGCATATATTTGGCGAGCTGTCGGTTTTGCCAAATGGACCCACCAATGGGCCCACCCTCACCCGCCAGGCCTTGGCATAGCAGGTCGCACATCAACTCTCCTGGCAGGAGGAAACCATATTCCACTGCTGGGGGTTGGACGTAAAGAGATTACAGGTTTGAATGTACAGGCTTCCGTTTGACCTTTACTTTGTGTATAACGATCATGAAAAGTATACAAGGGAAACTTGCCACTCCTGGGAAACTTGCGGATTCTCAGTTTCATTTCCTGGCGCGTACTACGGTCCCGACTTGTGGAAGGTTAGCAAAGCCGTCGACCAAGGCAGATCTACCGACATTATTCGACTAGCGCAGACCCCAAAAGGTGGCGGTGGTAGTAGTAGTAGTAGTTGTAGTAGTAGTAGTAGTGGTAGCAGTAGTAGTAGTAGTAGTAGTAATAGTAGTAGTAATCTTCAGACAAATCTTCAACGAACACATTACTCCTTCTGGCCCTGATGGCCCGGTATGCATGTGTGAATGTGCGTATGTCCAGCGCGCGCTCATGTTACGTCCTTAGCGCCGCACGATGGATTCACCGACCGGGTTGTATACGCAGTTACAGCCGTAGAACCAACCCTCACCACCTAGTAGTTCCCTCCCTGCAGAGCATCTGCATATACCGTGAGACTTAAAATAGCTGCATTTGTAGGGGTGCTACAAGTACATCTGCAGCTTGTAGGTGAGTTTTCCAGTTGCTGCCACGGACGTGTTGATACATTTGAGACTTAAGAATCTGCGTTTGTAGGTATGCTACAAGTACATCTGCAGCTTGCAGGCGTGGTTTTCTAGAGCTGCTGCTGTGCAGGTGGTAAGACAATTGAGACTTATATAGCTGCATTACAGATGTGCTACTAGGTGTGATTTTC